AGTGACATTCGGAGTTTCGACGGCAGTTGGTACATCATCTTCATCTTCATCATTCTCACTTACAGAATGAGCACCATCGTTTTCAAGAACCTCCTCCGAAACTTCATCCTCTTCAGAACCGACCTCATCCGTATTTGGGGTATCAGCTGTATTCCCATTGTCGCCATCGAGCAGTACAACGTCAACATCAGAGTTGATTGAATCACTTTCGTGTGCAGGAATGTCATGCATACCACATGTCGATTCATCAAACTTGACATCCCGTGACACAACAATTTTATTCAACTCTCCGTCCCAAAGTTTGTATGCCTTACTGCATTGCGAGTACCCAAGAAACATCGCTTCACGCGCTCGCAAGTCCAGCTTACGGAGCTCTAATTTTGGTAATGTATACCAACACTTTGACCCAAATACTCGCAAATGGCCAACATTTGGAGTAGAATTCATCCAAATGTGGTGCGGAGTTGTATTAACGGGCAAAGCGCGTGAAGTAACTCGATTACGTACATATACCGAAGTGGCAAGAGCCTCGGCCCAGAATCGCTTACTGACCTGTTTATGAGAAAGCATTGAGCGGACAAGATCAATCAAAGTTCGATTTAAACGTTCAGCAACACCGTTTTGTTCAGGGGTGTACGCCGTTGTGAGTTGGTGCTGCGTACCGTTTAGATCTAAATGCGACTTGAATTCCGTCGACAAGTACTCTCCCCCTCGATCAGTGCGAAGCACCTTTACTTTGCGACCAGTATGGGTTTGAGCCAACTTTTCATACAACTTGTATTTTGCAAACGCCTCAGATTTATTTCTCATCGTGTACACAACTACCCAGTTCGAGTGATCATCTACAAATGTAATGAAGTATCTCGAACCACCAATGGACTGTACTTCGAGCGGACCGCAAACGTCAGAATGTACCAAGTCAAGACAGTTCTGTGCTCGAGACGATGATCGCTGTTTTGGGATTACTGATCGCGTTGCTTTGCCAAACACACACGCAGGACAAATGGGAGAGTGATTGTCAGACTTCGGATTCATTGCACTGATCACATCGCTTTGACGAACGTTGATGCCACTTACCACATTATTGTGAATCATTGATGCGATTCCTTGTACATTAACATGGGCCATGCGTTCATGTAGCGTCTGCAGGGTAACTACGTGAGCAGAAAAGGTTTCATTCATGACGTCAAGTATGTACAAATCCCCAACTTGACTCGCTGTGGCAACTACAGTTGGTCCTGCAGTAACGCGGCATTTTTCATTTTCAAATGACACTTGCAAACCCTTTGAAACGATTTGGCTAACAGACAGTAGCGAGTATCCGAAATCGGGGACATGCAAAACGTTTGACAATTTGCAAGGATGTGGACTACCGTTGACGTTCAACATGAATTCTACCTCGCCGCGACCAGCGACATTAGCTCTAGCCTTCGTGCCCATCTCGACTGATCCAGATTGCATCTGTTCATACGTAACGAACAAAGAGCGATCAAACGTAATGTGAGCGCTGCAACCGGAATCGACAAGCCATGACCGTGCGTTTGCAGCCCTCTTTTCTGGAGTAGAAGTTGAAAGCAAGCAAGTAAAGTCACTCTCCGCAAAGGCAGCAGTAGAATTGTCATCTCGAGAAACGAATGCACTTGGCTTTAAGCCAGTGTTGCGTGACCGAAACCCATCTGGCGGTGCAGGTCGGCGCCCATTCACGTCCTTGCCCCAGCAACGCGCTGCAGTATGCCCATGTCTATTGCAATTCGTACATTTCATATCGCGTCGAATAGGCATACGATTGACAAGTGCAGGTGCATGTGGTGATGAAGCAGAAGCGGTCTTCATGCTTTCTCGTTGCTCTTCTTGCAGCAGACGACTCTTCACAAACTCGAGTCCAAACACTTTATCTTCATTGCCAAGTGCGTCAAGGGCAACAATCAAGTTATCGAATCGTGGAGGCAAGCCATTCAACACAGCCATTGCAATTTCTTTATCGTCAATCTCAACACTCATTGACTGCAATCTGGCAGCAAGTTGCTTCACACGATTGATGAACACGAGCACTTTCTCGGATGGGAGCATGGATACAGTGTAAAAGTCGCGACGGGCAGCAAGTTTGTTGAGCAAAGTATGACGCTCAAACACATTCAGAATTGCTTCCCATGTCTCTTTCGCACTGCTACACCCTCGCACATGTTGCAAGTAGTCATCAGAAAGCGTGAGTCCGATGACTGCCTTTGCTTTTGCGTCACCACGGATCCATTTTCTCCGGTCATCTGACGTCGCATTCTCCGGGATATCATCAAAAACGTATTGATCGACATCTCGGAGAGCAAGCAGTAGCTGGATTTTCTGCTTCCAGATGTAAAAGTTAGATGCGGTCAGCTTCTCGATTCTGACCGATCCAGAGCTTTGGTCATCCATTTCACCGAATGGATGTACCCTTCGAGTATACAAGGTCTTCTGTTCCGGGATCCCAAGCCGTTAACCGATAGTCAACACAATGGCAAGCCCACCCGTATAAGAAGTTTGTAGCGATTACTCGGAAACGTTCTTGGTGCTTGTTCCCGGCGGAGTGGAACAAGCGTATTCTTCTTAAAAATGCCTTAGGGCGCTACCCCTGTATGTCGGCCAGTGCGGGTCTTTCGACTGTGAACTAAATCAAACGTGCCACGAGTAAGCACAACACTTTGCCTGTAGACGAACCAGGACTTTTGGTCACTACCGCGAACGGTCCCTGCAACCGAAATCGGCTTGTCCAAACTTGATACGGTACTACCTCAATGAGGTTTCCCACAACACAAGAATGAAACTGCCTTCGTCGTACTCGTGTGATTTGTTCACAATCACGCCTAGGGTCACCCTCTTCCGTGCGAACTTAATCAAGGTACGCGACCTTATACACGTATAGTGAGAGGTTCAGTGTGTTGGAAATCTTCGACCACATGCTAAGCTCCAAGCCTGACAGATATTACACGTGTACGTCGACGAAACCTAAAATGCTTGCAAGAGCATTCTCAGGATGTTTGGTCTTCAAGGTGGACACGTGTCATATTTGTACACAGTTGCACTTTCCTATCATTTCCGAGCATGTTTCAATTTTGGTGTTGACACGTGTAAGTTATGTACCTCGTGGCACTCTACAGTACATTCTGAACATGTTTCATTTTTCTCGATTTGACACGTGTGTGACACGTATGACGTATGTGCCACAGTGGTTATTAATCGTAGTGTAAAATCTGTAATCTACAGTACAGTACATTCAGATATTATTGACTCTCAAACGGTCCCAAATTATTAGCAAGAGAGAGTGCAAGAAGGAGAGTCATTTGATTATCAACGGAGTGGAAGTAGGAGAGTCACTTGATTATCAACCGAGAGTGCAAGAAGGAGAGTCATGTGATTATCAACCGAGAGTGGAAGTAGGAGAGTCACTTGATTATCAACCGAGAGTGCAACAGGGAGAGTCACTTGATTATCAACCAGTGCAAGAAGGAGAGTCACGTGACCAGCCCTAATGGCTCGTATTGTATGTAGTTCGAAGAGTATAAGTAGCGCCAATAGTTGGCGACCAAGAGTAAAATGGTATCAACTTCTTTTCCCGTCAACCACCAGCAACCTTCAACCATCCTTCTTCCCTCTGCCCCGCTGACCTTTCTATACAGTGTTTAGGCACGTATTCTCTTCACCCAGGGGACCGAAGTCGTACCTATAGGGCTAATACCGAGAGCGTTACCCACACCGCCGACGCACCTCCCGAAGGCAGAGTGCGGATCGACTAGACCAGTACACTGTGATCCTCCCCGAGAATCAGTGTTTCGTCTCTCGACGATTCTTGGTCGGACCCTCGCTCAAGTCAGACTTCCAATGGCACAAGCCTTTCACCAAGAGCGAGGGTATCGGCAGCTACGACGATCACCGGCGTGATCGAAGGGCAGTCTTCTTGGATTGATATGGTACGTTGGCGACTAGGGACTACACCCACAGCTCACACAACGATTGCCAAGACCAAGCTGCAACAGACACGAAGAAGATCCACCAAGTTGAAACGACAGCAGGTAGACGGAGACGAACGACCAAGATGATAACGACAGCAAGTAGACGGCGATAGAACAAAACGAACGGCGGCGGCGATGAAACGGCGGCGGAAACGACAGCAGAAACCAAAACGAGAACGACAGCAGAAACAAACACGAAAACGGCAGCAGAAACTGAGGACGAGCACTCACACAGCGGAATAATAACGTTGAACTGGGCCCATAACCTACTGGAAGGTCAGCGGGGCAAAGGGAAATCGAAGGACGGTTGATGAGGTGAAGTTGAAGGATTGGGTACCGATTTACTTTGAGTCGCCAACTTCTGGCACTACTTATACACTTCTGCAATCTTCTAGAACTCTACTACCAAAGACTACGACACACATACTACAAATGTATTGGCTCTAACACATGTGCCCGTCTTGCTACTCAGCCAAACTGGCGATGGCCCAACAAACAGAACAGAAAACCGCCTTACGAATTAGCACTGTCATGACGGAGAAATTAGTAAGGCAGTACAACAAAGCACAGCAAAGCACAAATTCCCTTACTATTCCAAATCCAGCGTGGCACAAATTCGTAAGGCACGTTTACAGCTTACACGTTGCCTTACGAATTCAAATCAATCCTGCAAGGACTGTTTACAGCGCACACGTTGCCTTATGAATCTGAATCTCTCGTGAGGTCCTGTCCACTGTCAATTACAACAGTGCACATTTTGCCTTACGAATTGAAAACTCGCGCAACGGTATCTTTGTGTCCTGCTGTACCCGTGCTGCACTCCATGGACGCTGTAAACCTTTGGCACGTGCCAGGCACCCCCCACCAAGGTTCTACACTTTGTCTGTAAGACTGCAGGCGTACTGTACGCGTCCGACAGTGTAATGAGGACATGTGTCCAGGTCATACACGTGTCGGGCGAAGGAAAAAGAAACATGCTCAGATTGTACTGTACACCGCAACCGTGTACATATTTCACACGTGTACACTTTGAAAACCAAACGTGCTCCTGAAGTACTGTAGAGTGCAACCGTGTACAGAAATCACACGTGTACACGTTGAAAATGAAACTTGCTCAGCTCGTCACGCGGAGTGTTTTTGCTTTTACACGTGTCATACCTGTCGTCGTTTGTCATGCATATCAGCATGTGGTCGCAGAATTACAACACAGTGCGCTAGCATGGAGCGCACCAAGTTTACCAAAGTTCTGTTCAGTCGCTCGGCGACGCCATTTTGCTCCGGTGTGTACGCGGTCGTCATTTGATGCTGAGTACCATTTGCAATCAGAAAAGACTTAAACTCCGTGGACAGATACTCACCACCTCGATCGGTGCGAAGCACTTTGATCTTGCGACCAGTGTGAGTCTGAGCAAGTTGTGCAAACATTTTGTATCGTTCAAATGCTTCTGATTTATGGTGCATAGGGTACACTACTGACCAGTTTGAGTGATCATCTATGAAGGTAATGAAGTACTTGGCACCACCAATGGACTGCACCTCTAAGGGGCCACAAACATCAGAGTGAACTAAGTCTAGACAGAAGTATGCCCGCCTCGAGGACCGCTCTTTTGGGATCACAGATCGAGTGGCTTTGCCGTAGACGCACGCAGAACATTTTTCAGAGATGCAATCATTGTCAGTATTGTTGATTTTGTTAGCCTCATTACCAAGTAGTTTGACTCCACTTACCACATTGTCACGAATCATCGAAGCAATACCTTGAGAATGTACATGTGCAAAGCGCTCATGCCACGTTTGCAGGGTGGCAGCATGTGCAGATCCGATGTCACTGACGATGTCGAGAACGTAAAGTTCTCCAACCAATGTCGCAGTCGCCACTACAGTTGAGCCTCGTCTGATCATGCATTTTCCATTTTCGAACCCAACTTTTAGTCCAAGTTCAGTCATTCGACTGACAGAGAGCAGAGAGAACGCAAAGTCCGGAACGTGCAATACATCCGTCAACTTGCCCGGTTCGATGCGGCCATTCACATTTAACTTCAAGTGAACGTCACCACGGCCGGCAACCTTTGCACTAGCCTTGGTTCCCATCTGAACAGAGGCGGATTCAAGTGGCTCATACGTTGCAAACAAAGATCGGTCATATGTAATATGGGCTGTACAAGCTGAATCTACGAGCCACGAAGGCAACATCTCCATATCGTTCGTGTGCGAAGCTTTCGACATCAGACATGTGAAGTCGACGCTGTTTACAACCATGTCGGGATCAGGTTTCTGTGTGACAAATGCAGATTGTTTCCGCTGAGACATACGCGGTTTATATCCGCTAGGAGGAGCCGGGCGACGCCCATTCAAATCCTTTCCCCAGCAGCGGGTTGCCGTATGGCCTGTATGACCGCAGTTCGTGCATTTGTAATCGTTTATGTCCCGATTGTTCGGGGCACGATTAACCAGAGCCGATGTCTGTGAGGAGCTAGACTTCATGTTTGCTCGTTGCTCTTCCTGCAGCAGACGACTTTTCACAAAGTCCAAACTGAATATCTTTTCCTCATTACCGAGAGCATCAAGTGCAACAATGAGAGCCTCGAAACGGGCAGGCAGACCGTTGAGCACTGCCATGGCCATCTCCTTGTCAGCGATGTTTACGCTCATTGACTTGAGAATGGCTGCCAGCTGCTTGACACGATTGATGTATGCAAGCACCTTTTCACCGGAAAGCATCTTCACAGTATAGAACTCACGACGTGCAGCTAGTTTGTTCAGCAAAGTGTGTCTCTCAAACACGTTGACAATAGCTTCCCACATCTCATGAGCAGTATCAACATCACATACATGCTCAAGATGCTCATCTGATAGGGAGAGACCAATCAGTGCTTTAGCTTTACTGTCACCTCTGATCCACCTCTTACGCTCTTCCGCGCGTTCCTCACTTGGAACTCTTCTATTGAAAATGTGCGACCACATGCTGTTATCTGAAAAGGTCAAAATCGAGTGACACGTGTACATGACTGCACGGTCCGGGCGCTCTTACCCATATCACGACATGACACGTGTAAAATCCCAGATTTTGGGGTTCCGGGGACGAAAGTGGCCCCTCGGAGGGTCATGCAAATTTGCATAGTTTTGCCAAGTGGAACCTTGGCCCTTAGCACTATAGACTACACAGGAAATACTGCAATTCTATTGGCCCTCAGGTCTAATGCTGCAAATCTATTGGTCGAGCGTTGTCCACGTGTGCGTCATTGGCCTTGTGATGTACTTTAAATGGCCTGTATATGCCATAATTACGTTGTTTTGGGGGTTTCAAGTGGTTTGCCATGGTTGTAATGGGTAATTGCATGGGGCCCCCGGGCGGGACACATGTATGCCGTGTACACATGTACACGTCGCCAGGTGGATTCGTGTACGTACACATGTACACGCATCCAGGTGTATGCACATGAGGGTTTACAGTTTTACAGTGTCAGACTGTTTGCGATCCTGCGCGTGTCCGAGTACAGTACATGTGAATCAAAAGTACAACAAGTACTTCTCGCGAGAGGAATACAGTTGTGCGATTATTCTGTGTACGCGTCACGCTGTATGCGAGTCTTGCGTGAGCACGCGCCGTTGCACTGTGCTCTCGTCATGGTGCGCCGTTGGATGCAAGTTCATGACAGTACTCGTGTGATTTACATGTATTCTCATGTGAGTTGTGTAGAAAGTCTGGATGCACATTGTTATAACTTGCCATAATTGTCTGACAGTGCTTGGCGAAATTAGTAAGGTGAGAAACAAGGATACGTATGGCGATTGTGATATGAAAGACGTTTGCGTTGTTGGAAATAGACAAGTGCCAAGTTGTTCGTTGCACAACAATGAAGTCTGGCATGACTGGATGCAGATTAGTAAGGTGTGAAACAGTTGCATGCATAGGGCCATGGTTTACAGTCATTTGGAATGTGTAGAAATAGTTGTGAGCTAATAGTTACGAATCGATTCGTAAGGTGGAAATCGAACAGTATGGTCGGGCCACAAGAGGACCGCGCTTGGTCGCGCATAGTAGAGTATGGTTTACTGGGAGTCGGAGTAGAGCGATAGTGTAGCACTCGAAGTGTATAAGTATCGCAGGAAAACGGCTTCAAAGTAAACCTCGGCACCAACTCCTTCACTCACACACATCAACCTGCCTTCCTTCTTTCCCTTGCCCCTCCGAACCTACCATTAGGTTATGGGCCCAGTCCCTCGCTGTCGTTTCACTGCATGAGTCTGTCGTTCTCGTTCCGTTGTTTCTGCCGTCGTTGTCGCTGTCGTTTTCGCTGCCGTTTCTCGTCGTTGTTTCCGCTGGTCTTCTCGCTGTCGTTGTCGCTCTCGTTCTTGCCGTCGTTCTTGGTTTTGGTTTTCGCTGCTGCTGTCGTTCTTGCTCTGTTGTGTGAATTGGTTTTGGTCATCGCCCCCGCTGTCTTCGTTGTCTTCGTTCTTGGTTTGGCTTTTGTTCTTGCTGTGGTTCTTGCTGCTGTCTCTGTCTTTGGTCTTCGTCTTCGTTTCCGCTCCCGCTACCGCCGTCGTCGTCAATCTCGCATTTGGTTTTTCTTCGTTCTCTCATGCAAAGTAAGTTTTGAGTTTCTTTCCATTTCCTACACATCTAAGTGATTGTCTTTGCACGTTTTGGTGGTTCTTAAGAGCAATAATTCCAAAATCTGTTACTGACGATTATCTTCATATTCCTTATTGTGAATACCTGTTTTTACGGGGTTGTGTTAGATCTGGAATTAGTACCGGTGCGCTCTGCGCCTGGGAAGCTGGTCACCGGTCGAACGGTTCGGACATCGGAGGTCGTATCCGTTGAGGTGCTTGAGCCTGAGGATCAACCTTCACCTCGGCTCGCGCTTCCGGGTCCGTCCTCGAGTTGCCCACCATATAGGATTCCTCGTATTCCGCGCTCTGTTCCCGCACCAATAAAGAGAACTACGCATCGACTTTCTGCTCGGAAAGCGGCTGTTCTCGCGGATAAACAGTTTAAGCGTGAGCGCAAGAGGAATCGTAAGGTGTGCCCGCGGTATAAGCGGTATTGTAAAGTGTGCGGCGTTAGTGGCAATAGTGCGAAGGCCTTTTACGACCACATTCAGTCTAGGTCTCATCGCATTCAAGTTGCCAACGCTAAGGAGACTCCGCGTTGTATCCCTTGCAATCGCGTCTTTGAGTCTCACGGGCACCTGAAGTGCCACGAGAACGGTGCCGCACACTTAAAGGTAGTTTGTGAACAGAATAGTTAGGGATTTCATCCAAATAAATTCACATATCTGTTCGCAAATTTCTCCTAGTGCAACTTCATAGTAATCATATCGAATTTCTTAGACGGGTGGGCTTGCCATTGTGTTGACTATCGGTTAACGGCTTGGGATCCCCGAACGGATTTTCGAATACTTGAAGTTTATTTGCACTAAAATGGAAGATCAAGGAGGAGGAGGATCCATCAGAATCGACAAACTGACGGACTCCAACTTCTACGTGTGGAAGCAGAAAATACAACTTCTGCTTGCTCTACGTGATGTTGACCAATACATCGTTGAGGGAAGAGTTCCAAGTGAGGAACGCGCGGAAGAGCGTAAGAAGTGGATCAGAGGTGACAGTAAAGCTAAAGCACTGATTGGTCTCTCCCTATCAGATGAGCATCTTGAGCATGTACGTGATGTTGATACTGCTCATGAGATGTGGGAAGCTATTGTCAACGTGTTTGAGAGGCACACTTTGCTGAACAAACTAGCTGCACGTCGTGAGTTCTACACTGTGAAGATGCTTTCCGGTGAAAAGGTGCTTGCATACATCAATCGTGTCAAGCAGCTGGCAGCCATCCTCAAGTCAATGAGCGTAAACATCGATGACAAGGAGATGGCCATGGCAGTGCTCAACGGTCTGCCTGCCCGTTTCGAGGCTCTCATCGTTGCACTTGATGCTCTCGGTAATGAGGAAAAGATATTCAGTTTGGACTTTGTGAAGAGTCGTCTGCTGCAGGAAGAGCAACGAGCAAACATGAAGTCTAGCTCCTCACAGACATCGGCTCTGGTTAATCGTGCCCCGAACAATCGGGACATAAACGATTACAAATGCACGAACTGCGGTCATACAGGCCATACGGCAACCCGCTGCTGGGGAAAGGATTTGAATGGGCGTCGCCCGGCTCCTCCTAGCGGATATAAACCGCGTATGTCTCAGCGGAAACAATCTGCATTTGTCACACAGAAACCTGATCCCGACATGGTTGTAAACAGCGTCGACTTCACATGTCTGATGTCGAAAGCTTCGCACACGAACGATATGGAGATGTCCCCTTCGTGGCTCGTAGATTCAGCTTGTACAGCTCACATTACATATGACCGATCTCTGTTTGCAACGTATGAGCCACTTGATTCCGCCTCTGTTCAGATGGGAACCAAGGCTAGTGCGAAGGTTGCCGGCCGTGGTGACGTTCACTTGAAGTTAAATGTGAATGGCCGCATCGAACCGTGCAAGTTGACGGATGTATTGCACGTTCCGGACTTTGCGTTCTCTCTGCTCTCTGTCAGTCGAATGACTGAACTTGGACTAAAAGTTGGGTTCGAAAATGGAAAATGCATGATCAGACGAGGCTCAACTGTAGTGGCGACTGCGACATTGGTTGGAGAACTTTACGTTCTCGACATCGTCAGTGACATCGGATCTGCACATGCTGCCACCCTGCAAACGTGGCATGAGCGCTTTGCACATGTGCATTCTCAAGGTATTGCTTCGATGATTCGTGACAATGTGGTAAGTGGAGTCAAACTACTTGGTAATGAGGCTAACAAAATCAACAATACTGACAATGATTGCATCTCTGAAAAATGTTCTGCGTGCGTCTACGGCAAAGCCACTCGATCTGTGATCCCAAAAGAGCGGTCCTCGAGGCGGGCATACTTCTGTCTAGATTTAGTTCACTCTGATGTTTGTGGCCCCTTAGAGGTGCAGTCCATTGGTGGTGCCAAGTACTTCATTACTTTCATAGATGATCACTCAAACTGGTCAGTAGTGTACCGTATGCACCATAAATCAGAAGCATTTGAACGATACAAAATGTTTGCACAACTTGCTCAGACTCACACTGGTCGCAAGATCAAAGTGCTTCGCACCGATCGAGGTGGTGAGTATCTGTCCACGGAGTTTAACTCTTTTCTGATTGCAAATGGTACTCAGCATCAAATGACGACCGCGTACACACCGGAGCAAAATGGCGTCGCCGAGCGACTGAACAGAACTTTGGTAAACTTGGTGCGCTCCATGCTAGCGCACAAGAAAGTTACAAAGGGGTTCTGGGCAGAAGCACTTGCCAATGCAGTGTACGTTCGAAATCGAGTCACGTCACGTGCTATTCCCCCTAAGATGACCCCCTACCACTTATGGATGAAATCTGTGCCAAATGTTGGTCATTTGCGTGTTTTCGGTTCAAAGTGTTGGTATACATTACCAAAACACAACATCCAGAAACTTGACGCCCGTGCAAAGGAGGCAATGTTTCTAGGGTATGCTGAAAATACGAAAGCTTACAAGTTGTGGGATGGTGATTTGCACAAAGTGATCGTATCCAGAGATGTTACTTTTGACGAGTCCACGGGAGGCAAATCTGGTGAACCGATGGATACAAACGAGGAGGCTACAACTGATGATGACACAATCAACTCGAACATCGATGAGGAAGTTGCAGAAAATGATGCAGTGGCATCAGAAGCATCATCGCCGGATGAACAACAAGACTCTGATGAATCCTCCAACTCTTCCCCAACTGCAGGGGAGGACGAAACTACCGAAACAGTTGAGCAACACGTAGTTGAGGAAGAAACTATTGATCCGCCAACTAATCTCCGTCGGTCCACTCGCGTTCGCAAAACGCCTGGGGCGTGGTGGGCAGCAGCTTTGGTGACTGCTGGACTCCTTAGCCACGCCCATGTGATAACGGAAATCCCAAACTC